ACGTGCGAGAAAAAACGAGTTGATCACTGGAATGGAGTAAGAACATTCGAAACCTTCTCTATGTACCTAATGATTTATGGACTATTCGAGAAACTCTATAGCTGTGGGTATAAAATCCGAAGGCTGGAGCCTGACGAGGACAGACATAAATAGACGAGTACAGTTGACGCGCTAAAATTCAAAACAAATTCTTTCTAGATAAATAGTTATAAATCGTTTGTAAATAGTTCTTTAAGTCTTTTATCGTTATTGTTTTTTGTTAATTAGTGTTAAATAAATTGTGTGTAAATAAATTGTGACTTTCTATCCACACGGAACCGAGGAAAAACGTAACAATTGGTGTCAAGTGGGGCGTGTGTGATACACTAGAAATATAAAAAGACAGACAATGGCTCCGAAAATATTGTTGAAAGACTTGAAAGTGTCGGAATTAAAATGCGTACTGGAAGAGAGGGAATGCGAAACAGATGGAAAGAAAAGCATTTTGCAAGCCAGACTGAGAGACGTTTTGATTGAGGAAGGTGAGGATCCTGACACATTTTGCTTTGACCTGGAAGGTGACCTTGACTCGTCCTTACTTAAAATTAGACGACAACTTGAACAATTTGAATAGTAAAATAATTGACTTGGAAGTTAATTTAGAAGAGAAAATCAGTGATAAAATTATGGAAAATTCCCTGGATTTGCAAGAAACTTTAAATGATAAAATAAATATTTTAGAAGACAAGATTGCAGAAAATTCTAAAGACATACAGGCCATCTTTAATAGTAAAATACTTAATTTAGAAGAAAGTTTATACAACAAGATAACAGTAAACTCCAGGGAATTAGAAGAAAAGATTATAGAGAATTCTACGGAGCTACAAGACAAAATAACACAAATTGAGGACGATGTAAACAGAAAGATAGAAATTTTAAAGGAGGAAATAGCAAAGGCAAATTCACCAAAATATCAAGAATTATCGGAGGACCCGAAACTAGTCGAAAATAAGTATGCCTCAAAGTCAGTTATGAAACCTCCACAGTTTGACGGAAAAACCGCTTGGGCCAATTATTTTTGCCAATTTGAAGCCGCTGCGAGAGCGAACGGCTGGACAATCGCTGAAAAAGCTACCGCTTTGACTATTGCACTGCAGGGAGATGCGACTAACATCCTGCAGACACTCTCACCATCGAAACAGGGAGATTATCAGCAATTGGTACGACATTTAGAAATGTGGTACGGCCAGGCTCATTTAGAGCATGTCTACCATTCCGAGCTTAAAAATCGCATTTAAAAGTCAAATGAGTCTCTGCAGGAGTTTGAAGCCGACGCGACGTAGGCCGCCTCGTTAGCCTTGCGTAGCAGGATACGCAAGTTAATGTTACGCCCGAGAATGTTATGGAGCGGTTGGCAGTATAGGCATTCTCCGATAGCTTACTCGACAACGAGACAAGGCAAACGCTTCTTCTAGCCCACCCAACGCACTTGGCGGATGCTTTAGCACGTGCCCTAGAATTTGAGGCCGCGAAACAAAGTTCTCGGTCTTTAGGAAGAGTACGGGCCATCAACGAATGTTCCGACGAATCCGTGGAAGGGATTATTCGGAAAGTAATGGACCAGTACATGGGCAAGAAGGGACCGATTCGTTGCTGGAACTGCGGACAGGTAGGACAGTGCGAAGCCGTTGTGACGAGAAGAATGAAGAAGCGGCTTCGTCGAGGTCGGAAAACTGCTAAGGGTCGATATGAAGGGGCACACGTCGACCTGTACCCAGCATGCCCCAACGAAAACTGGGCAAGTCGCCTCGCTGTAAGCATTGTTCCCGAGCAGAAGAGAAAGAAGCAAAACTCCTAAGAACAACTGTGGTTCATGATAGTTGGCAACCCGAAGATCTTGCAAATGACCAAACCAGTGACCCAGAATTAGGTCTAGTAATTAACTGGAAAAACGCAGGCCAAAGATCTGAAGAAGAGAGAAGGCGGATCGTCATTCCAAAGAAGAGGGTCCCGGAAGTCTTAGAGGAAGTTCACAATGGAACCAGCGGTGGACATCTTGGTGTTACCAAGACACTTGGCAAGCTGCGTGCACGGTTCTATTGGGTGAACTTCAAAGAAGATGCGAGGGCCTGGTGTAAGAAATGTGACATTTGCGCAGCCATCAATGGGCCACAAAAGCGTGTTAAAGCCCTTATGCGCCAGTACAATGTTGGCAGTCCTTTCGAACGAATACCAATCGACGTGGCTGGTCCTTTCCCAGAGACGAACGATGGCAACAAATATATTGTGGTAGTAATGGATTACTTTAGCAAATGGGTCGAGCCCTACGCGTTGCCAAATTAAGAAGCGTCCACCATTGCTGATGCCCTTGTTAAAGAATGGATCTGCAGGTTTGGTGTTCCCATGGAGCTTCATTCAGATCAGGGAAGAAACTTTCAGTCCAATCTGTTCCAGGGCGTCTGTGAAGTCCTTAACATCCACAAGACCAGGAAGACTGCTCTACATCCACAATCCGATGGGATAGTTGAACGCATGAACAGAACTATCAACCGTTATCTGGCCAAAGTAGTCTCTGACCATCAAAGAGACTGGGACAAATTTCTTCACCTGTTGCTGTTGGCCTACCGTTCATCCGTCCAAGAATCTACAGGGCAAACTCCAGCCAGCATCGTTATGGGACGGGAAGTGTGCCTACCCTGTGATTTGAAATTTGGTTACCGACCGGGAGAAGAAGTTGCCGGAGAAGATTATGTCCACACACTACGGCAAAGGATGGACGACATCCATCAGCGAGTCCGCCTAAATATTCAAAGTGCCTAAATATTCAAAGTGCTAGTGACCGAATGAAGGAACACTACGACATTTAAGCTGAGCATGGGAACAACCAGGGAAGTTGGTGTGGCTATACAACCCGCAGAGACGTGGTGGGTTATCTCCGAAGCTACAATCCTCGTGGGAAGGGCCATACGAAGTCATAGATAGGATTAATGACGTCGTATACCGTATCAGAAAATTGCCAAAAGGAAAACCGAGAGTAGTCTATTTCAACCGTTTGAGCCCCTACCAAGGCGAAATAGAAGATCGTGCTGGGACCGTGAGAACCTGCAGCTTTGATCCCCCTGATTCGGAGATGCCCTTTGACGATTTCATGGCCCGATACAACAGCAGTGAGAAGGCTCGCTATGATGTAACCAAAGAAGAACAACGAGACCTCTTTTCCGTGCCTCCTGATTATTCGCTCGCTCACTGTGTGGCCCGAGATTTGCGGATGTCTAGAGGAATCGCTGTAACCGACAATGCATATGGTCAAGCAAGACACATCTTCTATCTGGTCACCAAGGAATGGTTCCCGAGTAAGCCGACTTATCTCAGTCTATGAAAGATCCTTATTGAACTGAGAGAAGCCCTGCTAAACAACAACATTCACACGATTAGCCATTCCGAAGCTGACGCGATGGTTTGAATTGGCGTACAATCCGGAACATGATTAAAGTCTTGTTTAGATTTACGGGAATCGAGATCCTCGTTTGCTGCTACAACCCAAAGCTGAGATCAGGAGAGAAAACTGTAGACTGCTATTTCCACCAGACTTCTCAATATACCAGGGGCCAGCTTTGCATATACTTTCATTCACCGTGTAGATCTCGGGACTAGCATGTACCTAAGAAGGGGGCAATGTTGCGGACCCGTGTGCAGACTTGACCTAACCTAACTATATGTCTGGCCCTCAGATGACCTTAACATCGCATTAAAGAATAGACACCGTTATGTTTCATTGGAACGTTCGGGAAAAAACGAGTTTCACTGGAATGGAGTTGTACATACGAGAACATTCGAAACCTTCTCTATGCACCTAATGATTTATGCACTATTCGAGAAAATCTTTAGCTGTGGGTATAAAATCGAGGACAGACATAAATAGACGAGTACAGTTGACGCGCTAAAATTCAAAATAAATTCTTTCTAGATAAATCGTTATAAATCGTTTGTAAATAGTTCTTTAAGTCTTTTATCGTTATTGTTTTTCTTAATTAGTGTTAAATAAATTGCGTTTAAATAAATTGTGACTTTCTATCCACACGAATAAACCAACTGAATAAAAACGTAACAATATTATATGTATACTAGCGTGTACCAGCGACTTCGTTCGCGTCGAATTAATCATTTGTTATGGTGATGATAAAGCCAAGCAAGAATTTCCATTAATATACAAACTGGATAAAATTTTCTCACATTTATGTCAGAAAAAACTGTTGTATCTATTAGAATTAGAATTAGAATGAGTGGGAGGGGGGTTAATCACTTCGACCTTACAGATCCATTGTGTCCCCCTTTCTTGAATCATAACTCATCATACAGTCCCAGGGCTTTGACAAAAGCCAGTATCTGGGACGGTTTTATAGAGGGTAGTTCTCCATCTCCAATATCAGTCGTACCAAAATTCATGGCACGAATGGTTGTCGTCTCGGCGCACTCAGTGATGAGGTGTACTGGTGTTTCACCATCTTCCCACAGAATCTGCATTCGCCGTTTCTTCTTAGTTTCAATCTACTGAGGTGTTCATTGAGGAGACAGTGTCCTGTTAAAAACCCCGTGACAATCCGAAGATTGTTCTTACTCAGACCCAGGAAGATCTGTGATTTTTCTTGATCATAAGCCCTCAGAAACTTCTTCGAGTGTCCTAGACCATTGCAAGATTTCCATTCTATGGTTGTATCTATGGATTATTATATGTTAAGTTTAATCTTTAGCATCTTGAGATGACATAACCCTGATTGACAGTTAAGTTAGATTTTGCTTGACAGAATGTTGTTTTGTAATGTTCTCAGATGTTTAATAATTTAATAAACTTAGTTTAATAAACGTTGTATTTTTATTAGTAAAAATACAGAGAAATAAAACATGGTGGCAGCGGAAAAATAAAAGCCAGCGAGAAAAGAAGCGAAAAAAGCCAAGGATTGTAAGAATATTTCAGGAAGTTGGTAGTCACTGTGGTAAACACGTTGAAAAAAGAGTCAAAAATGGACGTGAGGCTGCCGGAGCAGATGAAGTTTACGGGAAATATAAGCGAAAATTTCAAGTTATTTAAACAAAATTTTGAAATTTTCTTACTGGCCAGAGGGAAACAAGAAGTACAAGATGAAGTAAAAGTAGCTTTGTTGTTAAATTGTATGGGTCAAGAGGCGATAAATGTCTACAATACGTTTTCACTTAATGAAGCTGAAAAGAAACAATACAAGAAGGTCATAGACGAGTTTGGGAAATATTGCAATCCGAAAAAAAACGTTATATATGAAAGATATATGTTCTTCTCACGTAAACAAGAAGAGGGTGAAGGGATCGACAAATTTGTGACAGATCTGAAGAAACTAGCGGAAAGCTGCGAGTTCAATGAGCAAAAAGACTCGCTAATAAGAGACAGGATTGTCTTGGGAATCACAAATTTGAGACTACAAGAAAGATTGTTGACTCGTGAAGACTTAAATTTAGAAAAAGCAATAAACGAATGTCGAGTTGCTGAAATATCAAAGCTTCAAATTGATGAAGTGCAGAAAGATCAAAAGCAAGTATATGGACTCAGAAAAGAAGAGAGAAGAGGATACGAAAAAGAAAAGAAGCTGAAGAAAAATGAAGGTAATAAGTTTGATTGTAGGAAATGTCTCTCGAAGCATGGACCAAAACAGTGCAAGGCATATGGGCAGAAGTGTTTTAAGTGTGGCCTAGTCAATCATTTTGCAAAGGCATGTACCAGGAAACCTGTCAAGAAAGAGGTTAAGGAGGTATCAAAAGAAAAGGGTGATGACAATGTAAATGTTGATAAATTTTTTGTAAATTCTATTAACACACAAAACTGTAAAGCACTATATAAAGAAGTGGACATTAAAGGTAATATTGTTTGATTTAAGATAGATACAGGTAGTGAAGTAGACATTTTACCATTAAAATTATATAAGAGTCATTTAAATGATAAGAAATTAGAGTCATGTAATATCATACTTGAAGCATATGGGGGGTTTAAAATCAAACCTATTGGCCAGATAACTGTTAATACTTTTAATGACAAGTTAAAAGAAAAATTAAAGTTAGTAGTCGCCGATGTTAAGTCTGAGCCAATATTAGGTTTGAAAACTTCTAATATGCTAGGTTTTATTAAAAGCATAGATTCAGTAGTGTCTAGTAAAGAATTGTTTATTCAAAATAATAAGTCAATTTTTACTGGTGTAGGTAAATGTCCTCAAAAGTGTTCGATAAAGCTTAAAAAGTGTTGTCAACCTGTAGCACATCCAGCAAGGAGAGTACCATTAGCAATTAAGGAGGAGTTAAGAAAAACATTGAATGAGCTAGAACAGACAGGTATAATTAGCAAAACAGATAGTCCAGGAGATTGGGTAAGCAATCTTGTTATAATCGAGAAATCTAATGACAGTTTACGGCTATGTTTAAATCCTCAGGATTTGAACAAGGCCATACAAAGATTTTTTTATACTATTCCCACAATAGAGGATATAAGTTCAAAATTGTGTAATAAAAGTTGGTTTACTGTATTAGATTTCAAGGATGGTTTTTATCAAGTTGAATTAGATCACAAATCAAGTGAGTTGTGCACGTTCAGTACAGTGTTTGGTTGCTATAAATTTTTGAGACTACCCTTTGGGCTTACTAATGCTCCTGAGTATTTTCAAAAAGTAAATGAGGAAAATTTTAGGGATATAGAAGGTGTTATAATTTATTCTGATGATTTGTTAATAGCAGCAAATACTGAACAAGAGCATGACGCTATACTGAAAAAGGTGATAGAAAGAGCACAAATGCTAAATATAAAATTTAATCAAACAAAGTTACAGTATAAAGTAAACGAAGTAAATTACGTTGGACATGTTTTTTGCAAAGACGGAATGAAACCGAGTAAAGATAGAGTAAAGGCAATTCAGGCTATAGAAAATCCGACTATACTCTGTTTTTTTTTCTCAGGTAAGATTTCGACAGACGATGACAGAAGAAAAGCAGATGACGTCCCATACCAATCTATTTATTTTACTAAAAAAAGTTTCTAATAATTTTTAAGTTATCTATGGATGGGTTTAAATATAAATCCGTCATACGTCGTGTCTTGTTGTTTTTAACCAGTTTTATTGGTTTATTTAAAAAATGACAGATCGTATTTCAATTTTATTGGTTTGACGGAACGATGAACGACAAATGGACGCCGATGCGTATGAACTCGCCTTTAGATTTTTGTCATTTTTGACGCTTGTCAAAGTCTTGTCAAATTATAGGTTATAATTTTGTGTCAACTTTTGTTAAATACCCTGCGTTTTGGAAGATGATGCATTTTGATTCGTATTATTACGTGTGTTTTGTGTCATTTGAAGTCAAGTGGAGGAAAAATTGAGTGAAAATTAACTGTAGACCCAGAGCACAGTTTATGGTTAATACTCGCTGCCCAGGCAGAAAGTCTTATACACCAATGAAGTTGCCATCGATAAAGTTTGTATACCATTTCGTCGTAGATAAGTGCATCTCGTATATGGTAGAAGGATCAAACTAAACACATACTAAAAACTGAGTAGCTGTAAAATATCGACATCACACGATAGGTAAATAATGGATTTTAGTACTGCAGAAAAATAATGTCAAAAGGCACTGGTTTAAAAAAATTAAGATTAAAGTTAATTAATCAACCTTTAAGGTATAAAATTTGGTAGGTGTTATTATTAATAAAATAGTTTGTTTTATTTACCTATGTTGTTTTATTTATTCCTGTGGAATATTATAAATTTGTATTTGTACATAAGTTATATTGATAAACATAATCATAAATGCGGGTAGTTTCATAAAGCTTGAAAGTAAATAATAATTCTTTTTTATATTTTTTTGGTATGTAGTGTCTTGTTCTTGTTTGTTTTGTATTAACACATACCGTTTTTATTAAATAAAATAACTCGATTACATTTTTTCAGTTTTATACAGTTTTTTTCACAATATTTTGAAGTAATCACTTGTCATCTTGTCAATCAAATTTTAAATATATCCTGCTATGCGTTCCAGTTGTACCAACTTATTTCTTTGTAAAATAAAATAAACTACTTTGAAATTAAAATGACAGACACATATATCACTGTCAAGGATCTTCTCGTTGGACAGACTATAACTTGAAAGAGTTACAGAGAGTTCTCGGAATGTTAAATTATTTGAGAGGATTTATTCCTAATTTTGCAAAAGTAACAAGTCCAATAAGAGAGTTATTGCGTAAAGACGTACATTTTCAGTGGAATCAAAAACATACAGAAGTATTAAATAAATTAAAAGACATACTAGCTAGTGATCTTGTACTAGGTACATTTCAAAGTGATAAACCTATAGTTATTCAGACAGATGCGTCAAAAGATGGATTGGGTTGTTGCTTAATGCAGAACAAACCAATATCTCATGGTTCAAGGTCACTAACAGCAGCTGAAAAGAATTATTCACAGTGTGAAAAAGAATTGCTTGCTGTGGTATTTGCTGTAAGTAAATTTCATCATTTTATTTATGGCAGAGATGTCAAAATTATAACTGATAATAAACCATTGTTGGGAATAATGAAAAAAGACTTAAGCAAAGTACCATCACCAAGGTTACAAAGACTCAAGTTGAAACTAATTAGATATAATCTAAATTTTGAATATTGTTCAGGTAAACATATGTATATTGCTGATTTGTTGTCAAGGTCATATATTAAAGATGAAGTACAAGATGATCCAGATATGAAAGAGATAGTGCATAGTATTGAGAAGAATTTTAGTATATCTGAGAAGAGAAGAGCTCAATTTGAGAAAGCTATACAGCATGATAGTGACCTAAGTAAGTTAATAGAGTATATAAAAAATGGATGGCCTAAATATTTTAAGATGATACCAAATTCTTTAAGACCATACTGGCAATATCAAAATGATATAACATTATCAAATAACTTATTATTATTAAAGGACAGATTGATAGTTCCAAGAACATTAATACAAGACATGTTAGATCTTTTACATGAAACACATTTTGGAATGACAAAGACCAAACAAAGAGCCAAAGAAATGTTATATTGGGTAAATATGAATGCTGAGATAGAAAAGTTAATAAGAAATTGTCAAATTTGTGAGAGATATTCACCAAAACTCTGTAAAGAACCAATGATACCACATGAGATACCTAATAGACCATTTAAAAAAGTTGCTAGTGATATATGTGACTATGGAGGCAAAAGTTATCTGATTCTCATGGATTATTATTCAAAATGGCTAGAGATTAAACAAATGAAAGGAAAAACATCATATGATGTGATTAATGCACTGAAAGAGATATTTTCAATACATGGTATACCTGATGAGTTAATTTCAGATAACATGCCATACAACTCATATGAATGCAGACAGTTTGCCAAGCAATGGAATTTCAAAATATGCACAAGTAGTCCTCATTACCCCAAGTCCAATGGACTTGCAGAGAAAGGTGTTGGAATAGCAAAAATGATGCTTCGTAAAGATCAAGATTTAATGTTAAGCTTGCTAAATTATCGCACTACTCCTATTGTAGGGCTGAACCTGACTCCTTCACAATTGCTAATGGGACGAAACTTAAAAACTAAAATCCCTATTGATGAAAATAAATTGTTACCAAATAGTTATAATAATTCTAATATTAAAAATGAGATTTGTAGGAAAAGAGAGTTAGATAAAAAATACTATGATTTAAATTGTAAAGTTCGGAACAGTTTTAATGAAGGCCAATTTGTTGTGATTCAGAATCAAAATAATAACGAGTGGGAGGCAGGTCAGATTGTTAAACCTGTTCCTGACTCACCTAGGTCTTATATTGTCAAAGACTCAAGAGGCGCTATTGTACGTAGAAATAGTTCCCATTTAAAAAGTTCTGAAAGTGGTTCAGTGATTGATCAAAATACTTGTGACAGTGCGGATCAAAACTGTGATAGTTCATCCGAGATAGTGTCCTTACATCAAGAAAATGAGCGTCCAAAAAGACAAATTAAAAATCCGGTTAAATTTAAAGATTACCAATTATTTTAAGAAGGGAGACGTTGTATCTATGGATTATTATATGTTAAGTTTAATCTGTAGCATCTTGAGATGACATAACCCTGATTGACAGTTAAGTTAGATTTTGCTTGACAGAATGTTGTTTTGTAATGTTCTCAGATGTTTAATAATTTAATAAACTTAGTTTAATAAACGTTGTATTTTTATTAGTAAGAATACAGAGAAATAAAACAAAAACAATATGGCGATATTATTATATAACTTGGTAATATTTGAGGGGAAGTTTCATCTCGTTGGAATTTGACTTTCGAAAAATCCGTTTGCCAAAAATAAGCTTTTTACGTCAAGCAGTTTAACCAGAATCGTGGTTAAGAAGTTACCCAACTTTTTAGAACATCCTGTGTGATTTTTTAAAAAAATTTCAAAATATGTAAAAAAAAACAAATAAATTATGCTTGTCCAAGCGTTTTCCCGAAAGACTAACCGTTTTTTAAATAACAAATATTGTAATATTTGAGGGGCGTTTTCACCCTCTTGGAATTTGAGATTCGAGAAACCCTTCCTTATCAAATCTTTACACCCCACAGTCAATCCGTTTGCCAAAAATCAGCTTTAAACGCCAAGCAGTTTAAGCAGAATCGTGATTACTCAATGGTCATATTTTATGAAAAACCCTGTATAAATTTATAAAAAATCTTAAAATATGTAAAACAACAAAATAAAATATACGTGTTTAAGAGTTTTTCCAAAAAACTCACCGGTTTTTAAATAAAGAATATTTTAATATTTGAGGGATAGTTTCACCCCCATAGAATTCGAGTTTCGAAAAATCCCTTCTTATCGAACCTCTACAGCCTAAAGTCCATCTGTTTTCCAAAAAGCATTTCAGCATTTTACCTTAAGCGCTTTAAGCAGGATCGTGATTAATCAATGACCAGATTTTTCGAAACACCCTGTATACATTTTTAAAAAATCTTAAAATATGTAAAAAACAAAATAAAATATACGTGTTTAAGCGTTTTTTCGGAAACTTTTTAAATAAAAAATATTGTAATATTTGAGGGGTGGTTTCACCCTCTTGGAACTGGAATTTCGAAAAATCCCTTTTATCGAACCTCTACACCCTAGAATCAACCTGTATGCCAAAATTGAGCTTCTTACGTTCAGTGGTTTGAGCAGGATCGTGATTAATGGTATCTGTCAGTCACTTAAGGATTTTATATATTAGTATAGATTAAAAGAATTTAAAAGTCCTACTACTCTAAATTTATAGAACTACTTTGTTAGCTAGCGCCTTTCAAAATAAAATTTATTATAAAAATATTTTTTTAGCTCACAAAATTATTTGTGAACGGGACTAAGTGTCTACTAAATTCGAAAGTTAACAGAATTTAACTTAGTTCTTACTAGACGGTAAATTAATTTTGGAATTGCATTTTTGATTATGTACCTACATATTGAGATGTACAATATAATCGAGGAAAGTTCAAGTTACCTTAGATTGATGACGTTCGCCATATATTTTACAAAAAAATTCACTGATCGTAATTTTTGAGGTAATTTAACAAAAATTTTCATAATACGGGATTCTTTAAAACGTGCAAAAAATATTGAAGTTGGTGAAATGAGAAATGAAAAACGTAATCTGAAACAAATTTTATTTACATGTAATATCTCCATATTTACACTTTTTTTAACTTAGCTGCTAGAAGAGATATTAATATTTTGGATAAATGTTTTGACTACGTCTATGGTGTATGCTGCTTATTTAGGTGGTGTCATACTAATTAATTATAAAAAAAACTGTATTAAAGAAACCGTCGCTCAATTCTATGACAGCTGCGGCCACTATTATATGATATTAGAACAATTTAATTTTCCACATGTTTTGTCTTTATGGCATAGGTATGGTAATCACTAAATTTGACGTTTAGGCTATACACATATTTTTGACAGGCAGTTTTTTCGTTCAAAAATTTTAAATGTTTTTTTTTTCTCAAAAGCGGTCAATATTAGATATATAGTGTTTAATATCAAAATTCCTAAAATTTTATAGAGAATTTTAGTATGTAATAAAAAATGGAGGGACACCTATATAAAATAGGAAAGTTGTCAACTTCCGATATATTCCTAACCTAACCTAACTTCCGGTATTTCCGGAAGTGCCGCCATATTAAAAATACTTTTGATCGATAAATCTCGTTTTGAAACTAAGATGTGCAAAAAATCTCCGAGCTAGATTTTGCAGTTCTCTAGAAACTTTTAATGCACGCTTAGCCTGGGACACGCTTTATATTATCAGAAAAATAACTATCAAATTCAATAAGAAAACGCTAAAAAGTTAGAGTGGACTGTTTATTTATCTATGAAACGTAATTCCTGGCTCTTTCTTATCGTTGCGGCTTTTATACTTGAAAGCTGAACAAATCACCATTGTGATAATGTTTATGCAAAATTCACTACACAAAACAAACTATTACAAATCGTTAAAATTGTCGTTGGTGACACATCCGTTGCCTCCAAAAAAATGGCGTCTAACAACATAAATTTTGCTCCAGCCCGTATATGGGCGTTACGTGTTCTTGTATTCTTTAGTCATACATTATATACAGGGTCCGGCAATAGTGCGTCGGTCATCTCTAGCTCCTAGAATACAAAATTTGGGAATTTTCTAAGTGCAAACTTAAAGTATGTACTAGGATGTGTTTCAGGAAAAAAATTTCTGAAACTTATTTCTCAACTTCTATAGAGTGGCACAAAAAAGTGTGTGTGGATCGGGATAATTCTTTTTAAATGGAACACCCTGTATATTATTTTTTCAATCGAATAAGAATAATAATAAGAATTAAAAAACTTAAAGGACATTTTTTATATTTAGAGTATTTCAGCATTTTTAAGGCTTTGGCAGATATTTGCGGTTTTATATTTCATATGGCATTTTCCACAGAAAATTTTTATCAAAGCCACCCAATGATTTTTCTCTCGTATTTTACCGTTGAAAGAGCCATATGAAATAATACTACGTGTATCTGCAAAACCGTTAGCAATTTTGAAATACTTTAAATTCAAAAAATGTTCATTTTTTAGCTCTCCATCTAATAAAAAAATAGCATACAGGTAAAAAAATAATATACTACCTATTAAAAAACGAAGAAAAATTATTTTATATTTTAGAAGGTTTGGGGTAGAATTTTGAACACCCTGTATGATTTAAGATTGCGAAATTTATAGCAAAGTAAGAATAGACCATCTAAAGTAAATACCTAATATAGTTTTGATTTCAGGACAAAAATTGTATTTGCAATCATTTTTAAATAAAATTGAAAAATATATATTTATTATTTATTTATTAATATCTTTCAAATTATCGAAATATATTTACTCAAATCTTAAGATTATGTAAAGTGATATCTAAAAGGAAGTCAAAAATGCAATAATATACAGCGTGTTCCATTTAAAAACAATCATCCCGATCTATTCACACTTGTTTGGGCCACCCTACAACATATACATACTTTACAGTACAGGTTTGCACTTAAATAATAAAATTCTTAAGTTTTGTTATTCTAGTAGCTATTCTAGCCAGACGCACTTTTACCAGACTCTGTATGCGCGTCTTAAAATACGACTGTTTTTTACATGTCAATCAGCGAATCCCAATAACAAAATGCGTTCAGGAAAATGGTTTTGCAGGTGTAAAAACAGAAATCTTCTAATTTTCTCTTGTTACTTCTCACCCAATAGAGCCATAGTCAATTTCGAAGAATTGTCTATCACCTTCAAAATATATTCTTAAGAATCTCACCTTCAGATAAGAATCTCACCTTCAAACATATAGGTATGCAAAATACTCACTGAACGCAAACAATGCGCTGGCCAATATACAGAAGGGAGATTCGGAAGGCTAGTCAAATAAACTAAGAAGTCTAAGAGATTGTTAGATTTAGATGAACAGGATGCAAACAACAAAAATCCTGCAAATAAATCTTAGCCGTAGGCGTCCTGCACATGACCTGTTAATGCAAACAATAAAATCAAAATCTATAGGTATAATTTTAATAAGTGAACCAAACAAAAGTGTACTGAAAAATATTAATAGGACATGGATGCTGCAATTGGTGTTTCCAGCCAAGTTTGCGTACTTGGTACAGGTCGGGGTATAGGTTATGTCTGAATTGAACTGCCAGATGTCATTTTTAATGTACCGATGGGTTACTACAAGCTGTTCTTGATTCGACTGAAGGAAGCATTGTTGTTCTGAATGATTTAAACACTCCTTCTTTTCGAAGAAATGACAGCTGTTCATACATTAACGTAACTACTTTTGCGCCGAGCAGAATTTTTATAATAAGAAAGTCCTTTAAGGGTACCAGAGGAGGAAAATCTGACAGATCACAACTATATTCATTATGAGACTACAAATAGTAGTGTAGAAGCTACACAGAAAACTGTAACGCGACATGGTTGGAAAATAAACCCTAAGTGGTAACATTTTCGTGCAAAGTGGTAAAATATAATCATGCTAAAATTAAATTATTTTATTTAAAACGTTAGGATTTTGTTAATATTATAAAAATACTAACACTATAAATTATAACTAATATACTGTTTACTTTTGCCCAACTAGCCTTTATTAACTTTCTAATCAATATCTTATTACTATAATATTTAATATATAAAAAATAAATAACAAAATAAAAAATAACGAAGAAAAGATCGAAGACGTCTAAAACAAAAGACTAGTAATTTTTTCTAAAGATAATTATATAATTTTCTAAAAGATAATAATTTTTTCTAAAAGAAAAAATATTTACTGCAGTCACATACGTATTATTAAGTGATATTGCCGAAGTGTAGAACTGACGATATTTCTTTTTAATTATAAAAGTATATGAAAGTGCCATAAATTGTATTTTTATTCAATTTGAATTGATTGGTGTTAGAGAAAAGATTCTAGTAGAAATTGTAATTATTTATGATATTTTCAGTTATCTTTTCAGAATCCTAAATTTGATTTTCAGTTTTATACA